GGCTTATTTGTTCACTTATTTCATACATTATAGTATATAAAGGCAATATTACGGTTCTAGAATTCGAGTTAGCAAAATTACGCTAATTAATTGCCGATATTTAAAATACTCATTATCACAGATGTTGCTTCTGCATATTGTTAATTGATTCTGCTGTGAACACGATAATTATATCAGCGTTTCTGATAACAGCGATGAACACTAGAGCTACATAACAACCAATTTCTTAAAGAGCATGGGACAGACTGTGGAGCTGTTTTGACATTTGTGTAAAAGTTGAAGTGTTCACGGTGACTAAATGCAGTAGCATCTTCTAGGGCGACCAGCGGTGACTGTTCCTAGAAATATTCTACGTAGCTCAATCTGTGTTACTTCTCGTATTTTCTAATTACGGATACCAACAAAGTCCCCAACCTGCAGAATCATCACTCCGTAACAACATGATAATTCTGTACATAACAGAGGCTGCTTTCTGTTTGTTTTAGCGTTCAAGTCAACGTGACGCTTACATCTGTGTTGACATATCATTGCTACGCGACGAAAAAAAATAATTGTCCTTTCCTGCCAGGTCAATGCACCTCAGGTTTCAGAACTGGTCTGTGGTGATATTTCAGGTTCCCACGGCGGCTAATATGAAGATGATTCACTTCTAGGTTGTGATGCCGTGTAGTGTGCTATAAATCAACGTCTCAGACGTGCTTTCTGCCTCCATCATCAGGTTTTACTCATCGCTTTAACAATAAATGCTGCAAGTTGCTCTGAAATGTCGATAAAGTTCTAACGTGAATCTGTGCTGAACTGTTGGCTCCTTGTTTATTTCATTATGCAGTCTCTCAGTTCGTGGAACGAAAATATCTAGAGCGAAACAGTGCCACATGTCTTTCAGACTTGACGCATTTCGTTATACATTTCCCTGCGCCATGTTTGTTTGTATTCTTTCACACAATTGCCCGTGTTTACTAATACAGTAAGAATAAACCGTCGTACACACATATCTAACTGAAGTCTATAATTTTTAAAATAAACCTTTTGTTCGATCAACCATAATTTATTTTCCTTTGGTATTCTGCAAAACGTCTCCTCTCAAAGTGTAACAAAAGATCATTTTCCATTACTGACGAAGGCCTGTATTGTTAAAGGTATTTGTTGGTGTAGAAATATGTATATTGAGATAATATGCATTAAAATATATGTACGTATGCGGAAGATATACTGTGTGTGTGTGGATCCCATAAGAATTGCATTCTACGTGGTTGGTAGCACCATCTGCGATTCTGCCTGAATCTCTTCTATCGTCTCAAATCTCCTTCCCTTTAGCTGAATTTTCATCTTTGGGAAGAGGGAGAAGTCACACGGAGCTTAGAAAGGAAGTTGGGGTCGGTTGTTGCAAGATCTTTGAGCTCCTGACAAACGAGAAGTCGATTCTGCTTCTGGTCCTCAGACAGGAGCCTTGGTTTCGCATGTGGAGTTCTTCCTTTAGAATCAGCTGACAGATCCCATAGTCTATCCCAACAATGTCGCACAAGTCGTTGATGGTACGACGTCGATCTTCGTGAATGGCTTGCCGAATCTTCGTAACATTTTCGGGCGTTGTGCTCGAAGATGGTCGTCCAGAACTCTCGTCATCATCGACAGAGGTTCGGCCATTTTTAAAACGTGAATGCCACACAAAAGTTTGTGCACGACCCATTGCGGACTCCCCAAATGCTTGCTTTAGCATTTCATAGGTTTCCAAGGTTTTGGCGAGTCTTTGGCAAAATTTGATGCACACGCCATTCCGAAATCGCAGGAGGGTCGGTGTAATGCACTACCAAAACGCCCGTAACTAAGAAACAAATGCTAATTCGATGATGCCGGCTGACACACTGATTCACTATGAATGTAGGCCGCACCCCCTAGCGGCAGAAGCTCGTGCTACATCCGGTTCGCCCTCTATTGACACAGTCTGGAAACTTTCCGATCGCACCTCGTATGTATCTGGGATGAGTAATTCTTTCTGTTTTACTTAAATTTATTTTAACTTATATTTTCTTATCTTTTTCTCCTACTACTCTCGTCTCATCCTCCGTATTTTACCTATTATGCTTCTCTTTTATCACTATTTGTCTTCAGTTCTTCTCTGCCTTCTTATCGTCAGGAACATTTCTCAAAACACTCCTTCTGCTTCTGTTAGCTTTCATGGTAATACTCGACCCCCCTCCCCCCACTTTCGAACACCACTCACGTTTTTATTAAGAGCCAATGTTTCACTCGGTTACACACCGGTCATCCTGATAAAATAACCAGCCCATCTCAACGTTCGATAATTTAACATATTTCAATGATTAACCTTAATTACATGCAACTCTTCATGTATTGTAAGGTGTTAAACATTTTCGTTCATTATACAGTGAAAGGAACATAACACACACAGAGAGGTTGCCCTGTCTTCTTTGTACTGTCGGATGTGAAATTATTACGTAGACTGTAGACGTAGCTCTCAATAAGATTGTGAGTGGTCTAAAGTAGTAACTGGTTGAATAGTTATTTAGAAGAGAATCGCAATCAAATTCCGATAATTGTCTAAAGATACTTTGTTTCACACACGACAGTCGACACGAAACTCGACTAAAATGTAATCAGCGATTGTGCTCTTCTTAAAATTTCTTTTTTTTTGTCTTCGCGTAATTTTCCTTCCCCTAATTATGTATTTAATTCTGATGTGAAGTGCGCACCTAGATAGGCGATTGTCACTTTCTGCATTTACAACATTTTTATCGCATTCTTCATGTAAATGCTATGGAGATTTTTTTTTCCTGTAAACCATCTCATTGAGATGATAATATACGGACGTCCTAAAAGTCACACAACCCTCTGTTTAAAGGCAAATATTTTGTTAGTGTAATAGAGACTTTACAATTTGCCGTGCCCGGTGGCAACACTGGACTCCGGTCACTGAATCAGATCGGTTGTTTAAAGCAGTTCCTTCGTATTCCTTGCTCTTTAGTCGATTGTCTTTTCAACAGTGCGGCGTCTGTTGTAAGTAAACATTTTCGAATTACCTGCTGTTGATCTACCAAATAAGTTGAACCACTTTTCGACTAGAGAAACAGGTGAGAGAACATTTCAAAATATGTTGTAATTATGTAAACATAACCTCAATATGTAGCCTACCTACATTACAGACAACTGTTGGCTGTTTAAAATATTGTAAGTTATTCGTTCTTTTTCCGCGAGATGGAAACACATTACAGGTACTTAAACGCCTTCAGTGCTGGTAGATGGTACTATCTACACTGTTGAATATAATCTTATCTGTCGCTAACTGATTAGTGTAGATTCAGAGGGTCTTGATGTGTAGAAGCAGATATGTTAGTTGGTATTCATGTTTTAAATCACTATTTTCGTACATTATAAGCTCAGATATGTCTGTGGAAGAATTCGAAAGATGTGTAAGTAACAAGATCGTCATGTTACAATATTAATGTTTGCTAATTTTCTGTTTACAATATGATAATGAACATGGAATTCAACTTTAGGTTGCGTGAGCTTTAGGACACTTGTACTCTACTCTATCACCACGTTACAAGAACAAGTGTTCGCTGACATTCATTGAACTCCGTTTGTTGTGCCGTCCTCACTGGCTGCTGTGTAGCACCTCCGAGAGGTTAATTTACGAAGAGAAACTTCTCACAATTACTGCTATTTTACACTTCATTCAGTTCGTTCCGCCATTATTTCAGTTACCCACCAAGTGCTTCGGTATAAGAAGTTTTGAAATTCGTTCGATTATCGCCGAACATAAAGTATGGTCATACATTCCTGACAATTCCTGTAAATAGGACTACAAATATTCAAACTCTAGTACCATTCGATCATATGGCCATTTGACATTTTAACCCATCACCTAAATTCCGTCTCTATCTTTCGCTTACAAATTCGCATTGCTTAAATATGACACTAAAAATAAACATTTGTAGCTCTCTGATTTGTACAAGCGGCACGCAGCTTGACGATTTGGGCTTGGAATACAGGTAACATCGAAGAGGAAGACGCACGTGTGTAAGGAGGCTTCGATAACGATATTTCCAAATATCTATCGCATGACCGGGTTACAATACCACCGTAAATAACAATGATACAAGTATCTAATCCACCTAATATTCCTTACAATCCGGCTTCAGTATTGTTATACGTAACATTTTATTGTATCAGCTAGTTGATACCGGGCTAAGTCCGCGAAAACAATTACACGTGTTGAGGGATAACCCAGATTTTGCTTGTACAATCGGAAGTGAAATTATTACATTTAAGCTTTACAAGTACCTCATGCGGGTAAAGGCTTATGCCTGCATTGTTATAGTTCCTTTGGTTCTAAAAATACAGTGTTGTGTAAAAGCCAGTTTTCAAAATTCTACCGATTGTGTCTAATTTAAAAAGGAAGAACTGTTTTTAGTTAATATTGAGAAAGACACTTCGCCGCCTTGCTCTTCCCAATTTCCTTCCCTTCTACTGTGACGTGGCTCAAAGTCGAATTTATTTTGCTTACACGGTAAATGTAACATTGAAATATGAGTGCAAAAATTGTGCGTTCGTCAACATTTATTTCGGAATCCTCAGATTATTAAAAATATATGCCATACATGCACGTCGTTTAGTAAATCAATGATGAAGTGAAGATCTGCATGCGTACTCCGTTTATGTAGAGACGTTTGGTTCAATAGGTTTAAAGTCATCGACGCAGAAACCACAAATCTAAAGTGAACTCTCATTGAGGAAACTGAGTTCAACGACTATCAACGACTTCTTATTTCAATGTAAAATGTGTTTAATTATTACAAAGAACCATAGCTAGAACAAGAAGATTATTTTTATCGTATAAATCCTCATTCATTTGCACAGATGTTTCTCTGTAGTGTCAGATAAGCTGAATTACACAGACGAGTGATCTGTCGTCAAGATGGATCTCTATTAAACACCCTATGAGTTGCTCAGGTTTAAAAACAAAGTTAAAACTCAGATAAATATTCCTAAGAACTTTATTTGAGCTTTCGTTACATTTCTGTCCTGAATTCAGTGCTGAAATCTGTCTTAGCTGTACGAGATCGTACCACTGAAGCAGGTTATTTGGCAGCTGAATTTAGTGGCAGGGGCTGTTGTAGTTTTTCGAGGGCGTTAGCAAGCAGATCGTATCCACCATAACTCCCATACGGGTACTCGACACTGACAGCACAAGCGCACAGCGCCAGAAATATAAATACCTGGAACAAAACAAAAAACTATCACATATCGCACAAACTTGTGTACATAATGGAGCAGCAGAGATGTTTCGATTCCGTATCATCGAGGGATGTCGTATCGATTAGACAGGTGATTAGCGTCGAATAGGTTAATGTATTATTGCTTTGTTTATCACGTATCCAGTTCGTCAGTTTATTACAGACTGGATTTTTTTATTTAAAAAGTTAATCATTGCTCCAGACAGTAACTTAATTAATTACTTGCAATTGTGTAAGATCAGACTAATTATTATGTAGAACATGTTAACATAAAAAACTTGAATGTTAGTTTTATGTATACCGCATACAAGAACATACTTAATAAATTTGCAGGGAAAATCTGTTTACGAAATGTACTGATACGTCGGTGCGCGAACGTAAAATGAGGAATGCTTCAAATATATTTCTAGGACTATTTGTCCTACAGAACAAAATACTTTTGCAATAATTTAGGGGAGAATTTTCTATTGGCTCTATACAACGACAAAATAGTGCAGGAATATATAGAAGACTTTCAAATATCCTTGTACTTATAGCGAATGCCTACATAATGATGTAGAATCTAATAGAAGGGTTGCAGACACCTTCCTTCTCGCTGTTTGGTAAACAAACTTGTGCACGAAATTACAACAGTAGGATATGAGGTCCTGACGGCCGTGAGTCCGAAGATGGCTGTCTTCTGGGTTGTAGCGCCGTGTAGTCTGGTCCTGATGTGGAGACAGCTAGGACGTCTGAAACGTTGGTAAACTTCTACGAGATTTCACGGCGTTACAACTCAGAAGACAGCCATCTTCAGATAACAACAGCTTTTATAACTTTCTGGCTACTTACCGCGTAGAACGACATTCTGCTGTTTCTACTGCTGATGTTGATGCTTCTGGGATATAATTCCGTGTACTGTAGCCAGTATATATAGCGTGCTTTCTGTTGGCACAGGTGCAACTTGTGCGTTACTGCTGACTCTATATGATAAGCGTACGTTTACTCGGTAATTTGCCCCTGAGCAGTGAACTAGTGAAAGTTTATTGAACCCTTGTCCAGCTACTTCAGAACTTCGATGGTTTCGTTCAACGTCTTTATTACCGTAAAAATAACCTCATATAATATAATCCATTTCGTACATTAATTTTGGTATATTCCTACTATGTAATCTTTGTCTCACAGTTTGTGAATTTTCATGAGCTTTCAGCCTGTATTTTTCATGCGATTCTATTGAAATGGTATGTAAGTAAGATCTTCTGTCTTATGAGACACTATTTTCAGAATTTTGAAGTACCTCACAACATGGTTTCTCAGTCCACTCTTTTCCCCTTGCCACGGCTGTATAGTAATTCAGCGAATATAAAATAATTTATATTAATTAATACTTGCAAAAATATAGTCAGTGCAATGTTGAGGGATCCACATAACCTGAAATAATATAATAATAATTTATTATTCCAAATTCATTGCATTAATTGCTACAGGTTTAATATTTGATATATGGTAAATATTTTTATTATTATGGCTTTATATACGTTTAGGCTTATTTGTTCACTTATTTCATACATTATAGTATATAAAGGCAATATTACGGTTCTGATACAAACTAAGCAGGAAAATCTATAAAGAAATCATCTGAAATGGCTATATTTGTACTCCGGTGGAGTACACATTTCCACTCCTGTTAAAGTTAACCTTTAATTTAGAAGTGTACTTATAAGATTTGGTCTGCATTTATGGTCCTATGAATTGACTACACAAAAATGTATACAATAATGTTACCTCTGTGGAACAAAAGAACGGATTCGTATAACATTTCATACACGATGATCTCATTTTCGATCTAAAATTTTTTTCCATGGGTTTTTAATACGGTTAATAATATTTTATGAGACTGAAGTTACCTGGAAGTAAACAAACAAGCGTATGCTCAAAATAATTCACACTGTCGTCCTTTTTTTATACACGTAAAAATATGAATGTAGATGTCTTCCGGGATCTTGGGCCGCGTAGTCTAGCACATATTGTCCGACGTTTCAGAGAAACTTACTCTATCCATCACTCATAGCCCTGATCTGATGACGGCGTAATAACCTCCTCAGAAACGTCGGTCATTACTCTAAAAAACTACCCGGTGCAATGGGTTTGTGTCTGCAGTATCTTAATTTTAAGCCCAGAGAGGCCTACGTACGATAAAGTTTAGGTCTTTGGTAAATATCATGGGATCGCCTGAAATACTCTCTACCTGCCTTACAGCCGAGGTGGAGAAGTTGCCGTCATGCATGGCGCTAGAAGCCTCTGGATTTAAGATGTCAAATAATTTATTAGAGTTACTATATACAGTCTTATAGTAACGCCAAAAAAAATTATAGTCGCTCACATAGCAAGGAAAATCTGTCTTTTATGGAACAGGAATTTGTCATCAAGTTCACCTAGCCGTAGCCAGATTAATCCATATGAGCTTAGATGTTCTTACAGTGATGATGTGTCGATATCGATGTTTTGGTTTGCAAGGCCGTGCGAACTTCTTGGTAGATATTACTTTTCGGAGGAACATAATGCCTCCATCTTCGGGGTTACAAGTTCACATATCGTTTCAACCCAGAAGGCCGAACATCGACAGATTAATGCAGTCCGCATTGGCGATCTGTTGGGTTTATTTCGAAGTGATCGCAAGTGGAAGGTGGTATAAAAATCTCTCACTTATCCGTGCTCGTCATCATATTCACTTGTAGGAACCCCGATATTTGCGCTGGTTTCAAACATAAGACTTTATCTGCATTGTTTATACCTTGCATTTGCAAACCTTTCTCTACATTTAACATGAACAAAGGGCACAATCATAACTGGCAACTGTACAGCTGAATATTCCTTCTCATCTCTAACACCGTCGGTAATTTGAGTGAAACCTCAGTTCCAGAAATTCTCTTACTTTCATTAACGCAAACACCGCTGTTATGCCACAATATCAGATGGTTGAAGTTCTCACCGAGCTGAAGTTGTTGTTGGTGGTTTTGTGGTTGTGATGCCGTGTGGTCTTGTACGTGGTTACGTACGTTAGTCAAAGTACAGGTATCAGTGTAGTTATTTTCAGGCCGATTCTGTACTGATTCTTGTATAAGATCACATATTTCCGAAGTCTTCACAGATTTGAATTTTACTAAACAACTTGTACTATAGAGGTTAGTATCGCTGCTAAATGCACAGATGCATCGCCCAGGGGCAGCTGTTGTTTTCCGCTTGATAATGTTACATCACAACCATAATAACTGGGATAGAGGTTGCCAGTTGTAGTCGACAGGTGGCTCTAGTGTGGCCGACAAGTGCAATTAGCTATGCGTCACGTGCAGCGAACTGTCGTGTCTCCTA